CCCGCAAAGGGAAACACTTTCCCCTCGTCTGCTTTTAAGATCTTTCAGTCACATCAGACTCTCAGTGGCCTGGATCACATAGCACGCGACGTGTATGTTTTTTAATGGCGTAAATAGTCCGCGTGCAGACGCACATTTTAATATTAATTAATGTAACTGAGTCAGCTCTAAGGTGGGGTGGAGGGCCACGGTGCGTTTACTATTACTCTTATTCACGCCATGTAATCGCCATGAACTTATTAATGACGTATCATGTGATCATTTTACTTTGGAAAATAAAAGATGTAATGTGAACATTTTTATCTGCGCGCGCGTGTGTGTCACTGAATGCATTTAACTCCGTTTTATTTATATCGCACCAAACAATCACTTTACACCGTGAAGTAAAGACCCTACACTAATAGATTGATTTATCTATTGATAATTATCACTGAATCACTGTAACTGTACCTGCCTGTGTGCACTGAGCTAAACTTTGTTATTTAAGTAACGTCTGTCAGTTCAAACTACACAGAGCAGAAAAATGTTATCTTTACAATTAAATTAACTCAGGCAATCCATCTTTAAAAAAAAAAAAAAAACGACAACAACAACTATCATCTAGTTTTGGATTCTAAGTACATACACAGAATACTCAGAGGAGAAGATTGTGCCATCGCTGTTGCTCCAGTGTTTCCCTCCGCTGCAGCTTATTAATCTGTGCTCAATACACCTGTGAACACCACTGTTGGTGAACATGTGGCTAATTAAGTCATCAACTACTTCATTAGGTCCACCTGTTTAATGCAAATATCTAATTGGCCAATCACATGGCAGCAACTCGAGGCCCTCAGGCACAGCCTGCTGAGGTTCAAACTGAGCATCAGGATGGAGAAGAAAGGTGATTTAAGTGTGAATGTGTCATGGTTGTCGGTCTGAGTGTTGGGATTTCCCCACACAACTATCTTTAGGCTTTAATAATAATAATAATAATAATAATAATAATAATAATAATAATAATAATAATAATAATAATAATAATACATTTTTATTCATGAGCGCCTTTCAAGTCACCCAAGGACACTTTATAATAGGATAAAACACTTAGTAAAACAATGGGAGAATAAGAACAATAAAACAAAAGCACAAGATAAAATGAACAAACAGTGGATTCACAGTGAATATGCAGATTTGAACAGATGAATTTTGAGTTGGGATTTAAACTGGGGGAGAGAACCAATGTTTCTTATTTCTGGGGGCAGAGAGTTCCACAGCCTGAGAGCAGAGCAGCTGAAAGCTCTGCTTCCCATGGGGGTGAGGCGGAAGGAAGGTACAGCAAGCGGGATAGAAGAAGAAGAACGAAGTGAACGGTCAGAACAGGTAGTGGTTAACAGGTCAGAAAGGTAAGGAGGAGCGAGGTTATGAATGGCCTTGAAGGTGAGCAGAAGAAGTTTGAATATTATCCGGAATTTCACAGGGAGCCAGTGAAGTTCCTGAAGAACAGGGGTGATGTGCTGGTAGGAGGGGGTTCTGGTGATAATGCGAGCAGCAGAGTTCTGAAGCAGTGGAAGCTTATGGAGGGATTTTTGGGGGAGACCATGCAGAAGAGAATTGCAGTAGTCAATACGGGAGGTAACAAGACTGTGGACAAGAATGGACGTAGACTGGGTGGAAAGAGAAGGAAGCAATCTGTTAATGCTGCGTAGATGGAAGTAGGCAGAACGGGTGAGATTGTTGATGTGAGATTTATAGGAAAGTGAACTGTCTAGGATGACACCAAGGCTCTTAACCTGAGGAGAAGGGAAAACTGTGGAGTTATCGATGGTGAGTGAGAAATGGTTCGCCTTCAAAAGGTTGGATTTGGTGCCAATAAGGAGGATCTCAGTTTTATCCTCATTACAGAGAATGTGCTGTAAAAGAGACAATATCCAGTGAGCAGCAGTTCTCTCAGTTAGAATTCTTTGTTGTTGACCAGCCTGGTTCAAGCTGGTAAAAACAGGCAATACTAACTAAACTAACCACTTTTTGCAACTACAGTATGCAGAAGAGCATTTCAACAGGAGCAGAGGGTCACTCCTGACTAGAGATGGACATCAGATATTACGTATCGGTATCGGTCCGATACTGACGTAAATTACTGGATCGGATATCGGAGAGAAATAAAAAAATGTAATCCGATCCATTAAATATAAAAAAAAAGCACCTCACAAAACTTGCGACATGGCGTAACTCGGCTCATAACCGTAGCATGTCGGAGCAGTGTGCTCAAGTGATAGAGAGGCTGTGTGTATTTGAAGCCTGCTACCAAACCAGCGTTTCATCTCTGAGAAGGTTATCCCAGAGAGAAGTAAAGCAAGTGTGTAAGTCCATCTCTGAATGTTTGTAAAGCATTCCCGCGTTAAGCTTAACAACCAATACCTGGAGCGACTGCATCTTCTTGCTGCTACTTCAATTGTGAAACTGCTTAATGATCAGCTGATCGGCTTTTCTGTGCGACTCCTTCTCTCTTCTTTGTTTTTGGCCCACTTCGCGCCAGAAAGAGGAAACCAGCGGCTGAACAACAGCAGCACGTTTAAGCTTGATAATCTGTTGTTAGAATTTATTTAATATTACTTTCTACTCGAGGATCTTTTGCAGCTGACGGCTGGTAACTGTCCAGGGGCGGATCTAGCAAAGTTTAGCCAGGGGGGCCGATAGGGCATGAACAGGGAAGAGGGGGCACAAAGACATACTTTTCTTTCTTATTCTCATTTAAAATGTCTAGCTTTTAATCAATAACTATCTGAATCTTACACCCAAAGTCCATTACTGTATATAGTAACTGTTAAGTCTAATATACCCTAGTAAGCTATATTACTTTTTCCTTTGGGAAGATACCATCTGTGCAGTCTGCAGTTCTGTTGAAGGAAGATGTTGAATCTATTTAATTATTTTTCAAAAATAATTTATTTCTGTGCATTTTTTTCCCACACTGCATCAAATTAAAGTTGATTACGTCGATTAAGCATCATGAGGTGGAGGGTGGGTGGTTCCCTATTTTTTTTTTGCTGGGAGTTTGCAACCCTATTAGTTAGGTTGCTTAAGATTTCTGCTAAGTACTCTTTAAAATACCAGAATAGGAAGGATGTAGTAGGTTTAAGTTCATTAGATTGATCAGTATTGCTGAACTATGAAATATTTTGTGCAGTGTATTTTTTACATACAGGTATAACAGAATAGCTTTAGTGTTGTTGTTTATTTAAACTTGAGTATGAACTTATACAAAATGCAGCAAGATATTTAAAAAACAGTTTTATTGATTAAAAACACACTATCGGATTCATATCGGTATCGGCACATATCCAAATTTATGATATCGGTATCGGTATCGGACATAAAAAAAGGAGTATCGTGCCATCTCTACTCCTGACATCAACCAAGAGTCGTCTTATTCTTCTTCTCTAAAAACAGGAAACTGAGGCTACAATTCAAATTCACCAAAACTGCATAACAGAAGATTGGAAAAATCTTGCCTGGTCTGATGAGTATCAATCGCTGCTGCTACCTTCAGATGTTTTCAGAATTTGGCATAGACATTAAAACATGGATCCATCCTGCCTCGTATTAGTGCTGCTGGTGTCTGCTTCCAGCAGGATAACACACCATGTCACAAGCTTAGATCATCTCAAACTGGTTTCTTGAACATGATAATGAGTTCAGTGTTCTCCACAGTCGCCAGATCTCAGTCCTATAGAGCGCCTTTAGGATGCTAGATGGACAAATCTGCAGCAACTCAGCGATGACATCAAGTCTATAATAGACCAAAATCTTTGAGGAATAAAGGGACACATCAGTACTAGAAGTGGCAAAGCCAGCGTTTGTATACGAGGACAGCAAGGTGGCTGTCTGAAAGTGCTAGCAGAGGATGGTTTTGATCCATCGACCACTGCGTTATGGGCCCAGCACGCTTAGGCTGCGCCACTCTGCTGGACAGCACCCCAGATGGGACTCGAACCCACAATCCCTGGCTTTTAGGAGGCCAGTGCCTTATCCATTGGGCCACTGGGGCTGCACACAGGAGCTAGCAGGTACAAGCAAGGTTTAACTTTAAAGGACACTTAGACATGTTAGTGTTTGTGTGCCTGATTATTAACCCATGAAGACTTTTATAATCACTTGAGTACTGCTCCATTTTATTATTTGCAGCAATTGACGTTAGCTTTGGCTTCCAGACCGTTTGCACGTCTCTGAAACTCACTTTGAGAACTTGAACTACTTTTCAGTTTTTGAGTCATATTTTCAGTGCTGTGAAAATCCATTAAGTTCTGCACTTTGTGACTCATTTTTATTTTTGTAATACCGCTGTGTAGTCATCACCAAATTCTGTGACCTTTTCATGAAATTTTAATACAGTCTTTTCTAATAATAAATCAGTGCACCTATGTCTCTCTTATTCTTTCCTCTCTTCGCTTTCTCCTAATCCTCTACCAGTTGCTTCCACTTCCTGAGACTTGGTCAGCTGGAGATCTCTTCCCGTTAAAAGGGAGTTCTTCCTTCCCACAGTCACCAGATGCTGCTCACAGGGGTTATTGGTCTAATACTGTCAGTTCTTTACGTTGTGATTCACCTTGAGGAATTGCACAGAACAAAAGAAAAAAAAAGCATACTACTTAACCTCGACTTTAAATCTGCTCGCGTGCTGATCAAATAACCTACAAGCCTATGCTTAAGAGGCAGACACAGAGAAAGAGAAATCTTCCAAGCGTGCTTAAACTAATTGCGTTTATTTATATGCGTATAATTGCCCATCAGGGGACTAATGGTTATAAATCCCTCTGCAGCAAGAGCTCTGAGCTTCAGCCCCTGCTGACAGATTGTGAGGGGGAAGCGGTGATTACACGCCATGAAACATTTTGGGGAGGGCTTTCTCCAAACCTGGATTTTCACACTTAAAGAAAGGTCAAACGAATCACCGCGTATGAAGGTACACGTAGCACCTCCTTCACTATATTGCTCAGAAAAACACACAGACATCCTGCAGCTCAGGTTGAAATAGGAAATAGTTTCTCGTATTTATTTAGGAAATAGTTACATAAAATATAGCATTAAAGTCTAGTGTAACAGACAAATTGCACACAGTAATAATAATAATAACAATAATATTAATTACCAAAGTAACACTGCTGGTAACTTTCTCTTTACAAAGGAAGGTTTAAGGAAAGAGGTGAAGCATGACAATCACACTACAGTCTGACAGTACAAAATGTGGGTATAAATACTGGACATCTAGAAAAATACACAAGTCCTCTTCAGACTCTCTTCATACAATATTAACAGTTTCATAGAAAAATCGAAAACACACAGTCGGCTCTGTTGATTAGCACCAGCTGGTCAAATTCCAGAGAGAAATTTGGCATAAGTCCTCCTAAAGTTCAAATATGTCTTTTAAAATAAAGTGATAAAAAACATTTTAGCGTGAGCTCTTATTGATCAAAATAATATTTTTACTTTTTTTAAAAACAACAAGAAGAAGAAGAACGCCCGAAAGAAAACACAAGACGCCAAACAGCAGACATTAAACAGGTTGAACGATTGGCAAACAATTTACATCTTTTTACTTTCTTTTTGTTCTTACTTGCATATATATCGATCAGCAATGCCCGTTCTGATATTAACTTATATTTTTTTAATATATACAACATAATATACAGCCACGAGAGGAAAGCTGAGGTTTTGGAGAGTTTGGGTGTGTTATGCTACATGAGACTACGTTTGGATGCTTGGAGAGCCATTTGTCTACGCTTTCCCGATGGCTGCGTTTTCATTTTTACAATCGACTTTAGTCCAGTATGTTCCCTGAGCTACGGGCGACGACACCTTATGTTTGCTTGTTTTATCTGTACCTGGTCTCATTAATTCATGTACCATGTGGAAACGTCCTCGTTAGAGAAGCTGCGGAGATAGTTTGCCACCACTGGGTGTTTAACTGCTTAAGGAAAAACACAACAAGATTAAAATGATAAAAAATGACTAAAAAAGAAGAAAACTTTAATTATTTCTTTGAAAAATATTGCTTCAAGAGAGTAGAGAAAGATGGATCAGGTGGTTTTTTTTGTTTTTTTGGGGGGGGGGGTAACTTTTCAATGGGCGTTGTACATAGCAGCAATCCATAAGATGACACCTTGGGTTTTAAAAGAGTTTCAAAAATGGAGTTTTATGCAAATATTGCCCATTCTGCTTGTCGTGTTTTCTTTTATTTTACACATCTTTGTACAGTATTTGTTACAGTGCAATGATAAGAAGTACACCAGCATGGTGGGAGGAAGAGGAGGAGGGGTGGTCACTAATGATACAAACGTGTATTGCTGTCCAGTCCACCACACCCAAGCCAAACCTTTAAAAGTCCTGTTTTTTTTTCTTTTCTTTTTTAGGATGAGGATTCATCCTCGCGTCTGTAGCTCTTCTAAGTGCTTCTTGTTGTAGGCAGAGGGGACCGGCACTCGTCCTTTCATGGCAGGGCTGTAACTGAGACAAGTCCTCTCCAAGATTAGCTGAAGGTTGAGAGGAAATCAAGAGCAGATCCAAACCAAAACCAAGACATTTTTGCAAGACTGAGAAAAAAGAAGAAAATAAACACAAACTAGTGTTTAGGGTTGGGCGATAGGACAGTGACCGGCTCAGATGATTGGCGGTTGTATTATTGCGGGAGATTTTTGGCGTTTTAGTTTGCTAATTTTCTGCGTTGCAACCGTAGACAGTATAAAAGATGGATGTGGCTGTGGTAACATCACCCATTGGTTTCAGAAGTTCAAACTTCCGATGTTTTTAAACTGCAGTTGACAAGGGACGGACATGGCACACCCCGGATAATCGTTAAACTTCAAAGAATGTACAGAATGGACTTAAATATTTACTGAGTATGACCCAAATTAAGCAAGTGAGCTAATAAACTCATCACAAAAGTGTTTACTTATGTTGTCTCTGGATTATTTTCCCATAGACAACAAGTCTTTCTGGAACTACAGGTCTGCATTCCCTGGTGGTTATTAAAGAATAATGCAGGTTTAAGGCACTTCTGCATTGGCTTTATTTCTTTATTTATTTTGTTATACTCGGAAGTACGTCCACCTTTTATAATGTCGCTGTAAATAATTAACTCTAAAGTGCAATAGCTCCTTACTTTCTGGAGGTTTTATGAGCAAGAGTGGAAAGCTGTACACAGATATCAAAGTTTTTCACTGACATGCCAAATGTTCCTGGTTTTCTACCCTAATTGTTTGATAGAGTTGCTGTTATCCCATCTGTGGTTCCCAAAGTTTGGGCGTTTTCAATAAATAAATACAAACTTTTTAAAATGTCGGCTTTCCAAAACGATGCCACTTCAAATTGATAGTTTTTTAATTAATATATATTTTTAATTTGGGAATGGCTGCTTTAAGATGCTAAGGTGTACCTCAGTTTGCCAAAATAATTAGTTGTGGAGATGTGGCAGAAAATGTTAATGTATCGCCCAACCCTGTTAGGGGTAATCCCCTAGAAAAACAGATGTAATCTACCCAAAAATCCACTCCATATGTCCACTGTGTCGTTCAACCTCCAGCCAATCAAGGCATGATTTCCAATAAGAAGGACAGAATCTGAAAGAGAAATGTCTTGAAAACTGGACTCCATCTCTACAGCCCTGCTTTTTCAGACTTCGTTGGATCCCTGGCTGGTGCAGGAAGAGAAGCTGTCGTACAGCGAGTCGCTAAGGGAGCCCACGGGATCCACCCCGGGCCTGCTCGTGAAACTGGAGGAGGACGAGGCCTCGTCTCCTTTGAAGCAGCTCTCCCCGCTCTTCCCCCCGTCGGCGTGGCAGTCAGCTCTGCGGCCGCCCGAGCCCGTGTCCGGGTACAGGCTGCTGGAGCTGCTCTGATTCAGCTTGTTTAAGGACTCCAAAGAGAAGTTGAGAGAGAGCGGCTGGCTTGTGCTGACAGGCATCTTCTCCATGGGAATCTCTTTCTGCAGAGAGAAAGGAACATCTGTTAATGAAGAGCAAATACACGCTAGTTCATGTTACGGTAAATGCTGCAGTGTGAACTTTTTGCGCTGCCCTGTCTCTACTCTAACAACAGTGAGTACGACAGTGATCTATATTGAGATTTTTGTCACGCTCAACGACCAAATGTACGTCTTGGGTGCTGGCAGGCATTCATCGCAGGGAATTTGGTCCCCTCGGCACTCTTCCTGCTACATTAACTGTGCCATTCAACGTTATTATTTCTTTTGCATTACCTCTAGGGTTGCCAACTCCCTGAAAAATAAATAAGGGACACCTCGTGGCCAGGGCCGGGCGACCCAGTTGTCTTCACCCTTCCCAGTGTGGTGAATTTTCTAGCTCTTTTTTTGTGTGTGAAATTATTTTTTTAACCATTTGACTTGAAGTTGATTGTGCGATTTTTGGCCCATTTTGAGCCGATTTTTGAGTGATCGGACCGATTTTGGCCTTCATCGTGCGTCGTGTAGTATACGTGGGGTAACGAGAAGTGATTAACACCTCACGACCAGCTCCCGATCATCAATCGCTCGTGAGGGTGTCACCACAGGCTGAGCGCCTGTGGTGACACCATCACGAGCGATTGATGATCGCGCGCAAACGTAAACGTAAACGTTGGTGAAAAAGACGGCGCAGCACGGCTGTGCAGCGTGTGATCTGGACACAAGCGATGGAGGCACAACTTGTAGAACTTTGGAAAGCTCATCCGAGCCTTTTCGATGTGGCCTCACAAAATTATCACGACCACAACAACCGTGAAAATAGTTGGATTTACATCGCTGCTCAATCACAGCTGCCTGATCAATGTTTTTCATTAGCAATTTAGCAAAGTTGATGGTGGTGGTGTGTCTGTGTGAGTGAAAGACAGAGCGAGCGACAGATTTTCTGTTATAACCTTCATGTTATGGAGGCACAGTGTGAGCACTCAGGTCGCATCAGAGCATCGGGCCGTATAGTGTGAGACTCTGCATCGTGACCTACCAACTTCTAACCCCTGCGAGTCAATCGTGCAGTTTGAGCAGGAGCTGAATAACGTGACTGAAAATCGCACAGTGTTTGCCCAGCTTTAGGTGTACTGTCGTCCGAGACTTGCACCGCAGAGTCGGCGTTTGTTCCCCTGTTGGCCATGCTTCTTGTTGTGGTCATCTGTTGTCTTCCGGTATTTTCTCCGCAAGCGACCTTTCCTCGACCAATGAGATAATCTGAATTGTCATACTCGAATTGTCATAAGTGTGCTGTCAGCTCATTGGTCACAAAGCAGGAGAGGGGCTGGGAATTATGTTTTCAAACAAAGCGTTAATTCCATTAAAAGTTATAGACTACTTTTGATTCTCACTGTATTACGGGACAAAGTGCGTCCCTTATTAGCTCAATACGGGACGTGTACTTTTGTTTCTAAATACGGGACGATTCCGTATTTTAAGGGACGGTTGGCAACCCTAATTACCTCTGACCATCTGCTTTGTAGGAATACATTAGTAAAAAAGCTGCTGTTTGTTAACACTGCTTCAATTAGCAGGAGTGGTTTCATCTCTTAGCTGATGCCAAAATGTGCCAGACCAAGAAACACACCTTTAGCTAACTCAGCTACAAAAACTGTAAAAGCATGCATTAGCCGTCTGCTTCACTGTCATATGACCCATTGCCACACAATCACAGAGTAAAATAATCCCTTCAGAGGGAAAGCAACACAACACATACACCTAAAAATAGTCTGTTCTTATTCATAATGTACCTGCTTCCCAGTATCTTTTTAATGCGTGTCTCAAAAGACACTTTAACAAGGTAGTTACTGTACCCCTCAGCATCAAAACACCTCCTCAGAGGCTGTAAACAACTTTATTTCTGCAACAAATAAAGCCTGGGAGCACAGCAGCTATCTTCATAGGTGCTTTTTGCAGGGGTAAGTACACAGAGGAGTAGCTGCAGGGGCTGGACAACCTCTAGGGACCCTCCAAACCTGGACCGTTTAGCATTTAGCTGCGAGCTGTAGCTCCCTTCGGACATAAATCCAGAACTACTTCACACAAGGAGCACAAACACATACGCCACTGAACTTTATTAGCACAATTTGGCCCGTGCAAACTCTTACTGCAAGGGTCACGCACACACAGAGATCTTTAAAAGTTCCCCTTAATATGAAGGTCTCATCTGCCTCTTATCACACTGAAAACGTGATCACATTTGTCTTACTTAGCCATAAATACATGCTTTCACAGCCTTTATTACAAAAGTTCCACCTAAATAAAAACCAAAAGGGTTTGATCGAATAAGTCATAAAGCAAGGAATTTCTCCTTTTTATCAAAGAGGCCACAACGAGAAAAGTTTAATTTGGTTATTTCTGATTTAACAGTATGTAAAAGTGGGCGACCTGAGGAGACATTAGCTCACCTTTTTTGTTTACTCTGTAAAAATGTCTATGTTCATAATGCTGCTATATCCCAGCCTAATTAATATACTGTAGGGTGAAAGCTTCACATGAGCCTGTTGCTGTTAGTCTGGTCCACAGGGTTGACATTTCCAGCCACAGAACAGGAGCAGGCTCATAGCATCAATCTACAAGAAGCTGAAGTCACGTAATTTTGAACTGTAGCAGGAAGTACAGTGTCCCTTTATGTAAGCACAGCTGTTAATTAATTAATTAGTCCTGTTGTCTGTGAAACCATTGATTGAACAGCTTATTTTAATTTATTTTTTTATTATTTATATTTTTAATTCATTCTAAGGTCTGTATGTAATGGAAGTGTGTCCATTTAGGGTTTCTTCTATTTCCTGCTGCAGCCTGATCTAGCATGTTTTTCTCCTTATCAAGTAGCCTCATCTCTTATCTTATCAAAATATTCCACCTTTGGTGATGTGGTGCTTCTGTAGATGTATGCAGTGACAGCTTACTGACTAAATGACATACCGCTGAAACTGGATTTCTTTCTGTGAGACATAGCAGGCTGTTCGTGCTCGATACAGGGATGTCACTGCTCTATAGTGAAACATTAGTTAAGTCTTCTCAGTTTCTCTTACTAACAACCTAATTACATTCACGTGCCAACCCAGGTGTAAACTATGTCATGATGAGGAAAGGATTGAGAGGGAAGAGAGGAAATCATTTGCCTCTAAATGCAGCAGGTCTCATAAGAGCATCAAATCCTGGAAGAGTTTTAAACATGCAAATGTAAAAGAAAATGCCTGAAAAGTTCAACAGGAAGGCTAAAAATGAAAGTAATCACCTCATATTGTGACTGATGCCGAATCAACACAAAACCCTAACATCCCATCGAGGCCCATTAATCTGCACGGTGACCTTTGTTGGGAGGCGGAGTCATCATAAATTTGTAAAGAGGTCGGAATCAAAAGAAATATTAAAGGAAAAATGTGCCCAGAGGTGACGTGTGACTCACATCTGACACACAGGAGCAGTTTTTTTTTTTTTTTTTGCAGGTGCGGAGGTTAACTTCCAAATTAAAAACAGGTGCTGAATGCAGATTAGACCGGACGAGTTTTAATTCGACACCCACGCGTGCTTTTTCATAGCTTTCCTATTTTTGTGTCAGATTTTTGTCAGCTGTACAAAAAAGAAAAGACCTGTCGTTAAACCGCCTCGGGGCAAAGAAAAGAGTGCACAACGTGAATCTGTGATTAGCTGTGCGACAGTGAAAAACAGTCTTCAGATGCTGATTCTCTCAGCCAGCCTCCATTCGTCACAAACAAGAGGAGAGAAAAGAAAGGGGGGTTGGCTGTGCTATCGCTGATTGGGTTTGATTTCGGAGGAACACAATTACCAGCAGATCGAAGCTTCCCGGTGCAGGTCTCTGTACCACCTGCGGGCGCAGCCAAAATGATGGCTCCACACATAACTCAGGCTCCAGGCGGACGTCTCAGTGAGAGCTTCCTTCTTGAAAACACGAGGGCCCGAATCAGCAATTGGTTCTGCATCACATGCCAGTAATAGGATGTCTAAACTCAAATTCAGCAGACCTGCTTGCTACAAAAGCTGAGTGAAAGGGTCTTTTATTAAGGCTCAAGCAAGAAACATTTTTTCGTTTTCCCCTGCTGTTATGTATTTTTCCCTTTTTACGTTAATATTCTGAGTCGTACAGATGTTACACGTCTATGCTTTAGATCTGTAATCCTTCAGATTTCTCATGAAGTCAAACTAATTGTATGCACACTGCTATACTTAGTAGCTTTTAATGACCAAAATTGTAATAGCCACACTCTGTAAATAAAAGATGGAGCTAGTAACAGTTGCCATCTTGGAGTCCCCAGGGAGGGGGGGGGGGGGGTCGCCTTTACTGGAATGAGAACACATCAGCAGCCACAGGTCAGGCAAAATAATGACTTTACCTTCTAAGGAGGCTGATGAGAGCCAAACCGCTCCAACAGCTGCTCATCACCTTCTACACATGCACAACAGAGAGCATTCTCATAGCCTGCATGACAGCCTTGTATGGTAGCTGCACCAAAGGTGACACAAGCATGTTGTGAAAGCAGCACAAACAAAAACAAAATCATAAAGAGGGCCAAGCAAAACCATGAAGACAACACACCCCTCGGACGATGGTCTGTATTTGTATAGCACACACCCCAAAGCACTTTACACAACCAGTCAGCCACCCATTCACACACTGGTGATGGCAAGCTACATTGTAGCCACAGCCAACCTGATGCGCACTGACAGAGGCGAGGCTGCCGGACACTGGCGCCACCGGGCCCTCTGACCACCACCAGTAGGCAACGGGTGAAGTGTCTTGCCCAAGGACACAACGACCGAGACTGTCCAAGCCGGGGCTCAAACCGGCAACCTTCCGATTACAAGGCAAACTCCCAACTCTTGAGCCACGACCGCCCCGATCTGTGTTCAGGCTCCTATGACTATGGCAGGCGCTTTAAAACTATCCAAACACATACAGACCGACCGAAACACAGCTTCCTCCCCATCTTAACACGACCCCACAGTAACTATGCATG